TATATATATATATATATATATATGAGAGAGAGATAGAGGGAAAATAAACAATAGCACTACACGCATAAAAAACTGATATAATACAACAACCAAATAGCAGCAACAAACGAATACACAAAGAAAAATCACTACAAAGCAAAAGCAACAGATGCAACAACAGTAGGAGCAATAGTAGGCGTAATGGCAGCAGCAGTACAAGCACGAGGAGCGGCAACAGCACGACCAGTGTCAGCACGAGCAGCAGCAGAAGCTCCAGCAACAGAAACAACAACAGCAGCAGCAGCAGCAGTACTTGTCCGAAGGAGGTAAGGGGGTCTTCAGGGTCTTCATCAGTTTCGTCTTCTATTGGATCTCCTTCTAGTGTATCCAGAGCAGCATTTTCTTTTGCTTCTTGAGGTGTCTCTCCACCTTCATCGTCACTTCTTTCTCCTTCTTCAAAGTCCCAACTCACTGCCTCCTGGCGCAGATTTCCCAAGCTCAGAGCGCTGCATCAGCAGCATCAGCAGCAACAGCAACAGCTGCAACAGCAACAGCAGTTGGTGTATTTGCCCCGAAGCACCTTTGAATGGGACGCCTATCAGTAAATATTGATCTCTCGTGTGACTCAACAAAAATAATTGCTGGTGCTGGTGCTGCTGCTTTGACGCACGAGTTTATATATTCGTTTGTTGCTCCCTTTCCCCCTTTTTTGTCTTTGAGGAAACTCTTTAGCCGCTTCTTCTTTTGCCTGTAAAACTCAACCAAGAGCAGCAAACCCAGTAGCTGCTACCTTAAAACTGCAACAGCAGTAGTAGATGCAGGCGAAAAGCAGAGCCACAGTGGAACTGGCCATGATTGTACACTTAGGCTGTAGGCCGTGTGCAACGGTTCAGCAAGGGTATAGGGTTTAGGGACCTCTCAAGGCCGAGCTCGTCTTCAAATATCCCTCCTGCTGCTACTGCTGCTGCCTTTTGTTTTCTACTTTCATCTTCGCTGTCGCTGCCGCGTCGTAAGCCAACAGCTCGCCGCGTCAGCTGCGCGTCTAGCGAGGCTTGCGCTCGAGACTGCAGACAAACCCCCAACCCTAAACCCTAAACACTTAACACTAAAGTACGGAAAACCTTCAGCAAATGAGAAATATTATATCAGAGAGCTGAAACTTGAAACATTTAGACCGTATGTCCCCCAACAACCCTGGGAGCACACCACAGCTAAACCCTAAACCCTTGGCCCGAAGAGCCACAGCACCAACACGCATCGATTAGCTCTTATTGGACGAGGAAAGACAAACACGCCCAAGTACAAGCTGCAACTGTAGCAGCAGCACCCGGAGAACAGGCATAAGCAACAGCAGCAGCAGGAGCACTAGCGCCAGCAGCCAGCTTACCCTGGACTCTAGCTCCTCTGGGGTTGGCTGCTGCGTTGCAACGGCACGTTCAAATGTTAGCCACTCAGAAACAGGAAGCAAATCGAGGGACCCCTGCGGCACAGCAAGTGTCCCTAAGCCCTAAACCCTAAACCCCTGACACGACGAATTTTTTATAGGCCATGGCCGATCAGAAGAAGCATTTGGACCCTACACAAAGCCACGCTGCCGCTGCTGCTGCAACTCCTGCTCCTGCGGATGCTGCCGCCAGCGCTTCTGCCCCTGCACAGTTGCTCGTGTCGCTTCTGCTGCTGCTTCTATTACCTGGTTCTCAACGAGAAGAAAGAAGCAGGAGGCATCAACGTCGTTCTTTCGCGTTAAGAACGTCTTTTGCTGCGGCCGTCGTGCCGGGGTCGGAAGGGGTGGTTGCTGCTGCTGCTGTTGTTGCTGTTGTTGTTGTTGTTGCTGCTGTTGCTGCTGCTGTTGTTGCTGCTGCTGCTGTTGTTGCTCCTGCTTTTGTTGCTCCTGCTGCTCCGGCTGTTGCTGCTGCTGCTGCTCTGGCTGCACCACATCGGATGAATCGCGGAGACGCCACGGAGCTGCTGCTGCCGCTGCCGCCACGGCGTGTGGCTCTGCTGTCTCTGGAAGCTGCAGCAAACAGCAGGCAGCAACAAGCACAGGGCAACTTATTCCTGCGGCTGCTGGCGATGATGGTACCGCTGCTCCCGGTAGTACTGCTGCTTCTGGTGGTTCTGCTGCTGCATTTGTGGTGGGCCTGCGTGCTGCTGTTTTGTCAACACATCCACCCCGTTTCTATGAGTATCTGTGGGGTCACTAAGTCACGAACTAGGGTTTAGGGTTCAGGGACTAGGGTCTGCTGACTAAAGGCACATCCCGCGTGATGGAGATCGGCGGTTTCCATGATTTTAAACTCTCAGGGAATTTTCCAACTAATAAACCCCGGGAGGAGCGCAACCCCCCAAAACGCAGTCGACGAACCGTTCCTGATCACCCCCAATCAAAAACCCTGAAACCTAGACCCTAAACCCTTGAAATATTTGCAAGATAAACGGCCAACCCAGGTGCCACACCCTTAAAACTGAGCACGCGTTGAACTTTCAGGGCTCATCCCTAAACCCTAAACCCTAACCCTAAACCCCAAACCCAAAACCCTAAACCCTAAACGCCAAACCCTAGAAAGCAAAGGCAAACCGCACCGCCTCTTTGGACGAGCTGCTGCGCCACGTCTTCAAAGGAAACACAGTCAGCTTGCGGTCCTGCATTTGAGGAGGCGGGAGTGGAGCTCAGCCCTGACTGGAAATGGCGCGTGTTGTTGCTGCTGCTGCTGTTGCTGCTGCTGGGTAAAGGGTTACGTCCCTGAGAAGCGCTGAGGGGCTGGCTGCTGCCCCAGGGAACCAGCTGCTGCTGGTGCTGCTGCTCGATCTGCTGTTTCAAGCTCAGCACTCGGCCCTGCGGTTGCTGCTGCTGCTGCCGTTTACGCTGTAAGTCAGGTGTCCGCAAAGGCTTTACTAAGAGGCCCCTCATCCTCAGGAGGTGTGGGGCCCCACACAGCAACGGGGAAGTAGAAGGCAGAACCCCTAGTACCTTTTGAATAAGAAACAATACTGGGGCTAAACCGTTACTTGCAGCAGCCGCAAATGCTGCTGCTCCTGCTGCAGCTGGAGGAAACAGATTCTGCACAGGTAGAGCTGCAGCAGCTAGCTCGCCACAAACTGTTCTTCCGGCGCATGCAGGTGCTTCTGGTGCAATTGCTGCTGCTACTGCAGCGGCCTGCTAGAGCTGCTTCTAATGCTGATTCGGCTTGTTAGCGGTTTGGGGCTGCTGTTGCTGTAGCTGCTGCTATCGTTCCTGCTGCAAGTACTGCTGCTGCGGAGATCGCTGGGGACGCTCAACCTCCCATCCCTCTCCGCGAACTGTTAATGTGACTGTTCAGTTGTTGTTGTTGCTTCTGCTGTTGTTACTGCTGCTACTTCTCCCTCTGAGCCGTGGCGGCGCGCCTACTGCTTCGTGCAGCAGCAGCTGATGCTGCTGCAGCTTATAGTCAGGCAATTCTTCTGGGCTTGATATTGAATCCTTTAGTATTGATACTACATACAGTGAAACAAGTAGTGAAACCCGGCAGCAGCAACTGCAGCAGCAGCTGTAGCTGCAGCAGCTGCTGCTGCAGCAGGGCGGCGCAGCAAGTCTGTGGAGGCGGCGCAGCAGCGGCAGAAGTGTCTTGATTTGAAACGGAGCATTGAGCTGCTGCAAATTATTTATTCAGAATAAACTCCAAATTGCAGCTAGCTGTAAGCTCGCCTTCAACGTGAAGGCCAGCAGCTGTTGCTATTGGTGTTGCGGCAGAAACAGCAGCAGCTACAGCGGCAGCGGCAGCGGCAGCGGCCGAGGTGTGGGGCCCGGTTAGTAAAAAGGGAGCATCAGCTGCACCAACTACGACAGTAATAGCAGCAGCAGGCTGTAAAGACCGCTGGCTGAGAGACACAGATGCGCCCTTAGGGGTTGCTGCAGCAGATGTCCCTTACTCTGCGTAGCCAGCTGTTGTTGTTGCTGCTGCTGCTTGCTGCTGTCTTCCTGCACACCGACCTACAGCAGCAGCAAGCGTCTGCACTCTGCACCGGAGGCGATCGGAAGACCGTGATCCGCCCGCTTGGATTTCAATGGGGGAAGGCCCGCTGCAGCAGGAGCAGGAGCAGCAGCATCACCAGCAGCAACAGTAACAGCAGCAGCAGTAGCCGTGGCAACACCTTCTCACCGGAGAGAACGTTCCTCCTCCCCTCTTTAACCATGGAAGGGACTCAACGCAGTCTCCTGGCCTCCCGGTAAGGTTCTGTAGCAACAGCAGCAACAGCAACAACAGCAACAGCAACGGAGGCACCAGTCTGGGAGTGGGAAGTGGGGTGTGGCCCTGCTGCTGTCTTTGGCTCCCCTGAGGTTTGTACGTCGTGTGGCGACTCCTGGACTATGTGGGGAGGCTCTCTAGCTGCTTCTCCTTCTCGTGCTGCTGCTTCTGCAGCGCTTGCTGTTGCTGCTTCTGCTGCTGCTGCTCAGGAGAACTGGAGATGCCGGAAGAACGGAAGAAGCTGGATTGCTTTGGACCTCCCCGGGTTCAGAAGATGTACCGGAGGTGAGGCACACTTTCAGCCCTCCAAACCCTAAAACCTAGAACCCAGTGGGGAAGCCCTGACGGCGCCCTTAAGGACACCTAGACCCAAAATCTGAGGATAGAGATTAAGACTATCGCAGTTACACTGTAGTTTTGGCGTCTTGAGTCTAGGGTTTAGAGTTTGGGGTCTAGCGTTTAGGTTCTTGTTGTTTGTAGGAGACTCCTCCTGAGGTGAAGAAAGAAATAAGGCGACGAAGATTAGCAGACCCTTGTAAGGACTTGTCTCTTCTGCTCATTTGTCGTTGCTTCTTATTTGTTTCATGTTTGTCTCTTATTTGTCTCCTTTTTCCTGTTGATGTCATTTTGTCCATATTTGCTTTCAGTATTTCTCTGCCTCATCTACTGATTCATCTCCTGCTGATACTGCTGCTGCTGTTAGAGCTGGTACAGCGACTGCTGGTGATGTTACTTTTCCTGCTGCTGCTAGTGCTGCTTCTGGTACAGCTGCTTGTGATCCTGTTGCTGATCCTGCTGCTGCTGCCGCTCCTGTTTTGTTGCAGTGTCTCCTTCTCGTGTCTTGGCAAATGATTGCCTTCGGATCGCCTTAATGGGACCTCAAGAGTACAGCGCATTTGTTACATCATCTTCCTCTTCGTCCTCCTCAGCAGCCGCAACGGCAGCAGCTGCAGCAGCAGCAGAGATTGGCCGCTTTTCGGTGCCTGTGTGGGTAATGAGGCAGGCAGGAAGATATTTACCAGAATTTAGGGCTTTGAGGGCTAAACACTCTTTTTTAACAGTAGGCATTTATTCTATTTGCTGCTGCGGCAGGGATCTATTTGTTGCTACTGCAGCTGCAGGATTCTATTTGCTGCTGCTTTTGCGCTCCAGTTGCTGCTGCAGCACCCTAAACCCTTTGCCACAGGAAGCAAAACAAATGAGACAAAGGCAAGAAAGAATAAAGGAAGCAAAAGAAAGAAACAAGGGAAAAACAGAGTTGTGTGTCTGCTAGTGTATTGAAGTTATTTGTTTCCTTGCTGTATTTACTGTTCCCTGTTTACCATCTTGTTCCATGTATGCTGCCTTTTTGTCTTTTTACAGGTTTGCAGAGACCCTCTTTTAGCTGCGAATGTCTCCTTGCAACCTTTTATTCGTTTTCCTCTTTTAGACGCTGTTATTATCTTTAGCGATATCCTTGTCCTGCCAGAGGTAAACACTAGTAAACCCTGAACCCTATTATACCCTAAATCCTAATAACCCATAGAGTGTAGTCCAACCTGGTAACCCAAATCCCTAACAAACCCTAGACAGTCCAAACACCCTGTCTTGCCAGCGTTCGAAGGCACAAGCAACACACAAACCCCAATTATGTCACCCACAAAACCCTAAACCCTAAGTCCTAAACTCTAGACCTCAAACAACCCGACCCTATCCCTCCGTATCATCCCTACAGTCCATAGTTTAGGGTTTAGGGTTTGCTGCGCAGGCCATGGGGATGCCCCTCTCAGTGGAAGATGGAGAAGGGCCACGTTTTAGCTGGCGATTGGAATCTCCCGATGATATTCAACGGCTAGATGTAGCCTTCGATGTTGAAGACAGACTGGGTAAATGGGGGTTTAGGGTTTATCGTTTGGGGTTTAGGGTTTTGTTCTTGGAGGTCCGAGGGCCTCTCGCTGCCTTGGTTTGCTTTTTCTCTATGAAGCAGTGCCATTTTTTCCCGCTTCTATATCTTCTTTTGCTGCTGCTGCTGCTGCACCTCTAGTGCTACATCTTCTGGTGCTGCGTCTTTTTCTGCTAATGCATGTTCTGATACTCAGTCGTCTGGTGGTCCATCTGCTGCTGCTTCATCTGCTTCCAGGATACGTATTTGACGCAATATACGCGACAGCAGAGCGGCTTGAGGGGAAAATACCGATAATAGGGTTTAGCGGAGGGCCTTTAACTTTATTTTGTTATATGGTGGAGGGAGGAGCAGCAAAAAAAGGATGGACAAGAGCAAAAGAATTTCTCTTTCAATACCCTAAGGAATCGTTGCTACTGCTGCAGCAGATCGCAGCTGCAGCAACTAAATTCCTTGTAAAACAAGTCGAAGCCGGCGCGCAAGTCCTCCAGGTGTCTGAAACAACACCGGGCTCACTCCTCCTACCCTGCTGCATCGGCTTCGTGTGCTGCTGCTGCATTTGCTGCGTGTGCTGCTGCTGTATCTGTTGCTTCATCTACTCTTGCATTAACCGCTTCTGCTGCTGGGCGCAGGTCTTTGACACGATCGCTGGTGTGTTTGCCCCCGAGCAGTACGAAGAATTTGGGGCCCCTTTTATGAGCCAGATTGCACAGGTGCGGTGTTGCTGCAGGTGCTGTTGTTGCTGCTGCGGTTGCTGCTGCTGCTGCTGCTGCTGGGGTGTCTTCAATATGACGTGTGGGGACATGCGGGGCGGTGTGTTGGCTGCTCCAATTCGTCTTCGTGTGTTTTTATTGTGTCTGTTTATGTTAAATACGCTTGTTTGTTTGTTTGTCTACTGGCTGTTTCTTCTTTGTTTGTATTGGAGGTGTCTGTCTGGTCTACCTCTTGTTCCTCTGTGTTGGTTGTCTGTTTGTTTGTTTACTTACTTGTGATGTTTTTTTGTGGCCCTCCCTCCTCGTTGTCTCGTTTGTTTCCAGTCCATTTATTATTTATTTCGGGTTTAGGATTTGGTTGAAGTCAGCAGGTGTGTGTGAGCATGCTTTTACGTGGGAATGTTTGTTTTCCTTTTTTTATAGGACGTGTCTGCCTTCTATCCGGGTCTACCTCTTATTGCCTTTTCGAAGGATTATCTTCCTAAATCCTTTTTAAATTCTTCCTTTTCTGCTGTATCAGCCTCTTGGGGTTTAGAAAGGTCTCTGATTAAAGAGCGCTTCCATGCAGGCGCTGCTCTAAGGCAGCAGCCCGTCGCCCTAAGCAGCAAATCAATTAAAGCCATTCAAGGAAATCTTGACCCACAAATCCTCTATGCTCCAGATCATCTCATACGCAGAGAGACAGAACGCATGGTTAGCAGCAGCAGCAGCACCAGTAGCAGCAGCACCGGTACCAGCAGTAACAGCAGGAGTAGGAGCAACAGCACCAGCAGATGTGCTGAACTCACACACTCAACCAATACACTCAGTTGCAAATCCACAAGGATAGTACTTTTAACGATGGTTGCTGCTCAAGCTGCTGCGCCTTCTGCTGTTGCATGCAGCTGATGGTGTCACAGATCAGTTGTGCTGCTCCTCCTGCAGTCTGTTTTGCTGCTACTCCAGTTTGTGCGGTTTTGTTCCAGTGCTGGGGGAGTTAAGTTGTATTCCCCTCATCAGCAGCTGTTGTTGTCTTTCTCTTGTATTTGTTGGCTGCAGCCACAGTAGCTGGTGTTGCTGCTGCTGGTGGTTGAGTGTGCACGGTAGGTGGGGTTGTTTCGTTTGCTGCTGCAGGTGAGGGACTTCCAGCCAGGGCGTTACGTCGCTAACTTAGGGCATGGAATGGAGCCTTGGATGGATCCCCACAAGTTAGGCGTCTTCTTGCAGGCAGTTAAAGATACTGCAGCGGACATCAAAAGGCAACACCAGTCAACGCTACCTGGCTAGCAAGCTAGCTGGCTTTGTTGCTGGGTGGATGGATGGCTAGCTAGGCGACTGTCTAGCTAGCTTGCCGGTCTGGTGAGTAGTTAGTTGGCTGGATTGGTAGCCAGCTAGCTAGACAGCTGGTTAGCTGGCCATCCACATGTGCCTGAGGCCGCAGATACGGCTGCATAGCAGACACGGCTGCATTGCTAGCGACCTAGTTGACTAGCCAACAACCGGACTAGTTAGCTAGCTGACCAGCTAGCTTGCCGGTCCATTTCTTTTGCCTGCGGTGCTTGGAAGGACGTTCCTTCTGCGGCGAGTGCTTTGTCCTTGAATTAATTTGCTGTTTGTCTTTAAATGCATTTGAATATGAAAGTAAATATAATTGCACAGACAAAGGAAAGAAGATCTTGTCTGCTGCCCCCTCTACAAATGTAAATATGCCCTAGGGACACCAGCATAAGACAACATGTCCAGACATCATTTCATCTATGTTTATATCGTTTTGTACATTTATTATATATTTTTCTATTTACTTCCTTATTTATTTGACAAAATTTACTAACTCTTTTGCGGACTAGCCACTGTGGTCTTCTACCCTGCGGGCACTCGACCTGTAATTATATAAATTACAGGTCGATATAATATATATTTATTATATATAAATATAAATGCTCAAATACACAAAAATATGAACATATAGAAGTATCTATATATTTAACAGTGTACTTTTAAGTGTATGTTCCCAAATATATTCTCATATATATATATATATATATATATATATATATA